AAATAGCATCTTTAATCACAGTAATTCAGAATGAACATTAGTTTTTCTATTTAATTTGTTTGTAGCAAGGCTTAAATCCCGATCAACTGTAGGAAACCCATTTAAACTTTCAACTAATCCTCGTTATTTGTCATCTTTGTTTCAGAACCACCTTTACTGCCTACCAGCTGGAGGAATTGGAGCGCGCCTTCGAACGGGCTCCGTATCCGGACGTCTTCGCCCGCGAGGAGCTGGCCATCAAGCTGAATCTCAGCGAGTCCCGTGTGCAGGTGTGGTTCCAGAACCGACGGGCCAAGTGGCGCAAGCACGAGCCGCCGCGCAAGACGGGCTACATCAAGACGAGCACTCCGCCGACGGCGACGCTCAATCCCGGAACCCTAGCCCCGCCGTTCACCAGTTATCCGCAGACCACGACGGTCACGCCGCCGGGCAGCATGGACAGCTGGACCAGCTACCAGACGCCCTACGAGCTGACGCCCCAGTTCAGCCTGCTCTCGCCGGCGGCCAGTCCGTATGGCACCTATTCCGGCCAGTACGGTGCCTATGTGCACGAAAGCCAGCTCTTCCCGATGCGCCACTACGAGTACGGCAGTCCCACGCGCATGGAAATGGGCGCCACATCCGGTTCGGTGGCCGGAAACGGAGATGAGGCGGTGGCCAACGGCGGAAGCTATCAGCCGGCGGAACTGCAGACCGCCCAGCAGCAGCAGCAGCAGCAGTTGGCCGACGGCACCCTGGTCACCGTCCATGCTCACCAGCAGCAGCAGCAGGCGCAGCAGCAGCAATTGAATGGCAAGTACCTGAGTGCCGAGGAGGCCAAGTACGTGCACCTGCAGTGCCATCAGAGTGGAGCCGGCTTGGAGCTGAGTCCCGGCGCCAGCTGTCACCTGGTGGAGGCGCAGGGCCAGCACTATGTGACCACGGCGGCGGGAGGAGCTGCATCCGCAGGCGGCACCAGCAGCGATGACAACGACAGCGGAGGCATGCAGACTGTGATCAAGAGCGAGGAGGTCGCCCAGCAGCAGCAGCAGCAGGCGCAGAGCTACGTATTGCCGCCTTTTTTGCACTGAGAGAAATGCTCACACACCGGCGACAGCAACAGCAACAACACCAGCGACGCTGGGCCACGCCCACCAGCATGCCGAGCGCCCGTTTCCGGCGGCCATTTTGAAGGGATGGGGGCGTGGGGTGTGCAGCATTTCCAATTGTGCTTCTCCGACTGAAAGTGGGGCTCCAGAAAAGCCGATTCCCAAAGACAAAGTAGAATTCACCATCCGTTTACTTAAAACTAGTTTCTTTCAAAAAAATCCCATGACAAGTAGGGAAAGTCCAAATGTATAAGATCAGAACGTTGATATTTACTTTACTAAGAAAATAATATTGTTTTAGTCAATATTTCCACTCCGTTAGAGTTTTTCTGGCCAGTCCCACGCAGTTTCTGGCCACTATTTTCATATTGCCATAGGTTCCTTTTAGGTTTAATTACGCAAGTTGCAACAACGGAATCCACAAGTCTTTCCAAATCATGCGGTTTTCTTCAGTCTAAGCCTAGGTTAATCCAGGGTTAGGGGCTCTGCAACGAGAGTCCCGCCCCCAGAATGCATTCCAAATGTGCCTTACCAAACGGGAGACGAGTGACTTCCCCCTGGGAAGCTTCGTCGCCCAACAAACTTAGCTCTAGTTATCCTACTCGTAGGCTAAGCCCCATTTGCTGTTGTGTAGTTAGACAATAAAATGCCTTTTATATTGTATATTTGCTCATTTGGCTTTACAAATTTATTACTTACTACTTTTGTAAAACGGCTTGCAAATTTTGTTACACCTACATTCAATCTAGTTTAATTTATAATTGTAAGCAATACACTAGGACACTTTGCAAATGTATATAATAGACGTATAAATAAATCGTATTTTGTACCAATAATTGATCAACTTCCATTTCAAAAAAGGAATAACATAAAACGCTCGAAAACAAAATTGACAAAAAGTAATATATAATATTAGGAAAATAATATAGCAGATTCACAACATAGATAACCGCTGTGGAGCGACTAGGATTCTTTTAAAGAAATCAAAATCAATACCAATCAGAAATAAGCAGGGAATCACGAATAGGACTTCATTCAATTCCCCTTTCAGGTACAGTACGAAATAAGAAATACTTGATGAACTCAATGGCAGAGCAAATAGTGGATACTTTCACGTGGACATAGATCCCTGTTCCAAAACCGCTTGCCAATCGATGCCTTTAAAGAAGGCGTGAGCCTGCAATTGATCGTAATCCAAACGTAGCTCCGGAGAAAGCTGCAGCAGTTGCTCCAGCAGGTCCTTGGCATGATCTGAAATGTCCAAGGACTCACTGGGATACTGGACACAACCATAGAGTTCCAGTTGCCCTGGGTGAGTAACTTTGTAGGGCTAGAAAAGAAGCAGATTGGCCTTAATGAAACATTTTTGATCGAGAAGTTTAACTTACCACTCCCAGCAGGAGCTGATAGAGCACCACGCCGTAGCTCCACCAGTCCGAGCGGAAAGTGAGCGGTCTTTCTGGGGCCACAAAGTGATGAGCCAATGCCTCCAAGCTCAGCGCCTTGTGCACATAGTTGTCGTCCGAGCTCAGACCCTCGTTCTGGTAGAAATACGTCAGCAGCAGCTGGCCCTTGGCGCCCAGTAAAATGTTGCCCATGTGCAGATCGCGCAGGATAACTCCCTTGCCGTGCAGGCTGTGTATGGCGATGGCCAGTTCGCAAGCCCACTGACGCAGGCACTGCTCCGGAATGGGTTTACTTCGGATGCAATTGTCATCCGTCTTTTTATTTTTTTTTGGCGTAACGACCCCCGCTTGCAGGTTGCTCAGTGTGTTTGATACGGACTTTAAAAGCTGCTGGGAGCTGCGAACCAAATCATTGACGTCGCTGTCTGAAGTTAGAGGTTTCTCCTCCGCTTCCTTCTCCTCCTGCTTCTGGTCCGATGGGAAAAGCTCTCCATAATTGACGCTTTTACTACTTGTGGGTGTGTAGCTCTGCAGGTAATCGTACAACCTGCCGCCCTCCGCCTGCCGCAGTAGCAGGAAAATCTTCTGCTCCGACTGGAAGTAGGCCAGCAGCTGAACCATGTAAGGCACCTGTTGGGGCAGAAAGATGCTCTGGGTCAGAGAGTGGCTGGCCGGCTTCTCGATGCCCTTCATAATGGCAGACGGCTGCTGCGATTTCGTCACGCACTGCACTTGCATCACACGGCCATGCAGAATCTGCAACACCTTGTAGCGGGCCAACTGATTCCATGGGCACTCCAAATGGGCCACACTTCCGCCGTCTGTCGTGTCTAGAGAGAGCTGGAACTGCAGCTTCTTTGTCGGACAATTGTTGGCCAGGAAATTGGCGTGTATCTCCTCAGCCCGTGCCAAATATTTAGCTATCTTCGCCTTGGCTATAAATCTGCGCTCATCGCTGCTGTCCTGCTTGGCCCCATTGAGCAGCAGGTCCACACCATGCTTGTACCGTTCGTGGGCTTCAGCATACTCCTGGTTAACCTCCGCTTGAACGGCATGACTGAACTCAAGCGCCGCCTCATAAATGTAGTCGCTGTCGTCGCTTTCTAAGGAAGCCATGGGCGTCAGAAGGCGGAGATAATCCCTCTTGGACGGGGCTATATCTGTGTTGGGTTCCTGTTTCGTTTCTAATTCGGGTTCAGTTTCTTTGGCTTGGGATTCATTGTTTGTTTGCTCCTTATCACAACGCGGATCTAGGGGCGTGATGCCCCCCGCATCGTGGGGGTCATAGGGCAAGTCTAGTTTATCGCAAATGTCGGCTATGGCTCCAGCGCACGTTCCTGTTTCCGAGCCACCAGGTCTTCCACTTCCTCCGCAGCCATTGTCCTCCGTCTGCAGCCGCAGAGATCGTTCCACATATAGCTTTTTAAGCGGCGATCCGTTTGGAGAGGGCGTCTCCTGGAAGAACTGCGTGAATGTTGAGCACTTGTACAGGGCCGGATGCTGGGCGGCAAAGTCTAATAACTGCAGGATGTACTCCTTTCGTCGCTGGATGACTGCCGCATCGAATCGCTTGAAATATGAGCTATCTGTGGGCACTGGCAACTTGCCGGGAAGTTGGAGACTCTTGTGGCGGCGGCTAAGCTCGCGATGCAACCGCTTGACATCGTGAAACCGTTTCCACACCACCAGGCAGGTCAGAGCCTGAGGTACCGACCTCGGGAAGACCTAAAAGTGGGTGAGGTTTACTATTTGGCACAGTTTACCTGTCCCCCAAAAACCGACTTACAATCGAGGTAATTTTGTATATTGTGTAGCCGCCCTTGTGCTCCTGGGTGTCCGTAACGGTGAAGCTGTGGATCCAGCCCCCCAGGTTGAGACTCATTCTGCTAGCTGCTGCAAGACCTGGCAGTTTAGTTTCTTAACATATTTCCCATATCAAATGTCGTTTTTTTCCAACTGTTTTAGCAACATAAAGGCTAGTGTGACCAAAGCATCTTAAGCAGACCATTACCAGACTTCGAAGTTAACTAAGAGCATTGACTAGCTTATCATCAAAACTTAAAACGGTTAAAATAATCCATTAATAAATTAACCTTTCTTTCCTTAAAAACTTTTGTTTCAATAAAAAACGGTCATATTTTAAAATTTAAAATTTAAACAATCGAACACTTCATAACTATCGATATGGACACCAGCTATAATGGAGGAAATGGATTGTGTCATGACTAAATGCAAATCAAAAGTGGCAGAAGTAGGAGTCTGTGCTAACATCATTGCTTTGAGTGTTCACGAAATATTAGTTTATTAATAGCTACAGCTTTTCAAACTGTGTCACTGAACTATCAAATTTAAAAACTGCGAAATAAAAACTCCGTCCTTAGTGGATTTTCGCAGGGGTAATCCAGAGAGCTATAACATCAATATAAAGACTTTTCCGATTCTAGCACCATCGCTCGCGCATACGCACCACACGCGTCATGCATTTTTTAGGCGGTCATCGGGCCATCGCCCATTAATTTTAGTGTTTCACCCGCCGCCCGACACGGTCACACCGCTCGAGAAGTAGAGAAAAAAAGAAGGCGACGAATCAAAGGCAGCAAGCGAAATCGACGCCGCACGTACCGGGAGCATTTAAATAATTTTTTCTGTGGATTAATTTAACCGAAAAGGCTTCAACACAATGACTGAGCGCGAGAATAATGTGTACAAGGCAAAGCTGGCCGAACAGGCCGAGCGCTACGACGGTGAGTAGTGTCTAAAAATTGGAAATAAAAAATGGTAGAAAACGGTAGAAAAATGCGAGTAGAGTAGGGAAAATTTTCTCGACTGAGGAGCGCCAACGTTTTGGGGAGGGGTCGCTGAGATTTTTTTCCCGATCCATTGCGTCGTCGCGTGGTCGTTGAAAAGTCTGCAGCGCCGCTTCTCGTCCGAATTTGCCAATTGAAAAGTTTTTGGCCAGAAAAAATGATGGAAATTTTCAATTTTCATCTGTGTAGCTGCAGTCGAAGCGACGCAGCGTCGCGATGAGTAGTATTTCTTGCGAAAAGACGTAGAAGGACGGGAGGTGGAGGAAGCAGAAAGAAGAGGAAGAAGAAGCAGAGCGTCGGAAGAACGAAAAGAGATGAACAGAGTGTAAAACCTGATTTTTACCGGCAAAAATTCGCGTGGTTTTGCACAAAAAGAGAAAGAAACGGAATTGCGTATTATAATTTACAGCAAATAGTTTGCTTTTCTTCTTCTACTCTTTCTTTTTGGAACTATGTAGTATTAGTTTAGATGGGGAAATTTTGTGTATTTGGCGTTGCGAGTGAGGGCTGCGCGGCAGCCAACATTTCATTTTCTTCCTTGGTTGCTAAGGGCTGTTTGTAGTTGTTTCCAGTTCGCTTTTTTTCTGAGTAGTTGTCAAGGCGTAACTTTCTAGAAACTACACATTTTTCGGGGTTTCAAGTTGGTCAAATAGATTTATTCCACACCCAAAATCAATGATTGTTGGGCAGGGGAGTGGGGCAGTCCTCTCTTTCAGAACCCCCCCTCCCACCCTTTTTTCAACGAAATGTGCTTTTCATGCGCAGCAGCAGCGGCGTCGTCACCATGCCGTTGCTGCGAAAAATCGATGAATGAATCGATTGTGTCGCCGGCTGTCTCCCTCTCCCACTTTCGGCCTATTGCTTAATTCTTTATTTATGCAAATTAGTTGCGGCTAGTTGCAAGCAGTTATGCGGCCACTTGGCAACCCTGTCTGATAATGCGAAAAAAAGGAAATATAAATTTTTCTCTGCTTCTGTTACTCTCGCATTACTCATGCTTTTTGCGCATGTATGTATGCGTGTGTGTGTGGGCATGGAAGTGTGCGTATACCGATGAGTGTCCGCCGGGCGGTTTTTATTGTTGCTTTTGCAGTAGCCTTAGCTTATATTTAATTAAAAATACTCCAATTAATTAAAAAGGCAGCTCAAAATGCAAAGATAGCCGTCGTGGGAGGGGGACGGCAAATTCGGCATTTGCAAAAAGCGCGCGCTTAACCAATTGTCGTAAACGCTGTGTGCGCTGAAACGAGATAGCTAGTGTGTCTGACTGTCGGCGACGCTGCACAGTGGCTGTAAGAAGTTAACAAACATTTGGCGATTCCTCCGACCCCTGCTTCTTTTTGTTGCTGTACTTGGGCAGCAAATATAGCAACAATAATTGCAACAGTACTCTGCAACTAATTGCCTGCAAAACTGACAACATTAACGGGCGGTGGCGGCGGCAAAGAAGTCAATCAACTATTAGCACACACAAACATGCATACATACAACACTGGGGATATTTGTGTCTGTATCACATGTTTGTCTTCTTATTTTCGCCCATTGGTGTGTGTTGGTGTGCAGCACTTGGCGTTGGCCTTGTCGCACTTGGACATTTTGCGGTGGAGCTCACGCTGGAGCACCAATACCAGGGCGCACAAAGAGAGAAAGAGCGGCGGAGAGCGGAGCGGCGAAGCCGCCAGCCGGCAATGTCTGCGCCCCCAATCTGAACTTGCCTCGCCCTCCGCCCCTGATCTCCTCTGCACTCCCCTTTTCTGCACACATTAACGTCAGCCTTTAAGTGTGCTTTCTCAGGTGCTGCCCCCTGCATCACCACCCCCCTCTCCATGCTCCTTCCATCTTGCGCGCTCTGCGTTCTATCTACATTTTTTTCGAGGTCGCGCGCTGCTTTTTCCGTTGATGTTCGTTCTCGTCAATGTCGTCAATATGCGCAAAAGGCAGACAAAAAATGAGTGGAAAAAGTAGCATACATAAAGTTGATTGATGGGCGGTGGGTGGGGGTGGTGTAAGGTGTGTTTTGTTTGTTGCTCGCTTTTTGCTCAAATTGCACCATTTTAGGCGCTGTTGTTGCTGCTTCCTTTGTCTAATTACAAATTCTCTGCTCGCTGTAACGGTATGTGCGCATGTTTTTCAGCTGCTGCGCCCTTATGCCACTCACACACACGCACACCCCCATACACACACACACGAGCGCAAGACACACCCACAGGCGACTGATAAGGGAGGGGGTGGATCGTATGGAGTGGGGTGTGGTAGGAGGGGGTGGAAAATCCTGCCCATTCCTTTTGGTCCCTATTTCGCCCTAATCTTCCATTCCAGTTCTCGTGACTTTCTATACTTTTGGGCGGTTTCTCAGTGGGTGGTGGTGGGTCGCCATTGCAGGGTTGTCGCCAGTTTATTAAATTCCAATACTTATTTTTTGGAAAATAGCATTTGAAATGCTCATCTTTTTAATTAACTTGTTTACAAAAAACATTGGGCATTTTTCATAAACAAAATTGTGAATGATGCTCAGCTAATACGTTCATCTACTTAGAATCTATTGTACTTGGAATCAATTCTGTACTCTTTCCCCGGAATAGATACATTGCCAAAAGTATAGTGTGGGATATAACAACCTTGTTTTTTCTTAATAATATATATGCTACTATTTCGTTAACTTTGCAGTTGCTCCCGAAAGTTTAGATGATTCGAGAAGCTTCCATTTCTTTTCCCCATTTCGTGGCACCGCAAATGGTGTATCATGCCCGCGGGACTTGGTTCTTTATTTTTGGGACGCGTTTATTGATTTTCGCCTTTCTATATGTACATTATTTAGTGGCTGTGCTGACGCGCATGTCTCATAATTGGTAGTGGATTACTTACTACTAAGCAACATGTGCTGTACACTTTTAAAGCTGGAAGGATCCCAGCCACCCCCGAACGCCACCCACCGGCCACCTGCTCCCCCCACCATTCCCTATAATTTTTTATGCGTATGTAAGCCTCGCTTGCAGTCGTCGTAAAATGCGAGTGCACATCTCCAACACATTGGTTACAAACAACCCGCCAATGCAAACAACAATGTTTGAAGTTCGATCGTAGCCACAAAAGTTCGTGAATCATGCAACTTTATTGGCAATTTTTCACAAATACGTGCTACAACAAAAACCGCACTAATAAGCAGACAGTCGGCAAATGTCCCGATGTCTGTGTGTTTGTGTGTGGGTGTGGGTATGGGTATTTGTGTGCGAAATACGTCAGCAGCTGACGGTCAGCGGGTGCGAGCGAGAGGGCAGACTGTGCAAGTCAGCAAACACGCTACAATTACAATATTTTCGTAGTATAGCTTTGTATTGTTATCAACAAGATATGCCCGAGATAGTTAGCCTGCAACTGACTTTCCCGAGAGCACTGCAATGAAAATTTAGATGATTTGGCTCGGTAGTATTACACATTTCCCTCGGCCAAATATCAAAACTTATCTTTCTTAATTGAAATATTAATCATAATCCCGAAAAGCGTTAAAATGAAACGCCAAAATATATTTAGATTTCACATAACTGGCTCCAAAAAGGAAATGAAAAACCAAAATGATATCAGCTCTTAGTCTACTTACTTTAATTTGATATACGAGTTCCTTGTTTGCTTCCGTGTCGAGTTCCGAACATGTGATTCATGACGCAGTTTTAGATGGTGATGCAGAAGCAGATAGAGATGCCCGATGGGGCCGATAGGATTGGGTGCAACAATGTGGCGGAAGCCCTTATCACCGGCTGATTGGATGGCCCCGTGTTGGTATGACAGAACCAGTTAAATCGGGCATGGACGCAACGTCAAGTTATGCATAAATATATGTCCATGACTTACATATCATCGCGGATTGGGCGTGTCGTCGATAAGAAATGGAAAATAGGTAGTCTAGGCAGCCGTGGGTACAAAGGACAAGGGTGAGGAAAGTCCAGATAACAAGCCTTCCATACCTTGGATAAAATTATCTACTGAAATGTAAATAATTTACATAAATCATTATATACGCTTAGTAAGTTTTCCCATTCAAATGTTTTTTTTTCTTTCTTAGTCTTAACATGAAAAACAAGTTTGGGTTAGTATACGAAAGAAATTAGTTATATGACAAATCCTTAAAACATTTGTATTTTACGAAATTGTTGATAAACTAACGTCTGATAGCTTTGTTTAAATTACATCATAAGCATTGCTTCATTCTGAAGTTTCTTTTTTTACTGACTCATATGAACTAGATGTTTTATGATGTATATTTTCATTAGGCGTTGCTTAGCGGCTTAGATAGTAGTATATACATGCTAATAACATAAAACTAACCGATAGCTTATGTGAAATCCGCTAAATTTGGTTGGAGATGTTGCGCCGTATTATTATTGTAAACATATGCGGGTTAAAAATGTACTCCTGTATACTAAAGACCACACCTTTTATTTGTTGTGTCCTTTACAGAAATGGTGGAGGCCATGAAGAAGGTCGCCTCCATGGACGTAGAGCTGACCGTCGAGGAGCGAAATCTGCTGTCGGTGGCGTACAAGAATGTGATCGGAGCACGCCGAGCCTCGTGGCGCATCATCACCTCGATCGAACAGAAGGAGGAGAACAAAGGGGCCGAGGAGAAACTGGAGATGATCAAAACCTACCGCGGACAGGTGGAGAAGGAGCTGCGCGACATCTGCTCGGATATACTGAACGTGCTCGAGAAGCATCTCATTCCATGCGCCACATCCGGCGAAAGCAAAGTATTCTACTATAAGATGAAGGGCGACTACCATCGCTACCTGGCCGAGTTCGCCACCGGCTCGGACCGCAAGGATGCGGCGGAGAACTCCCTGATTGCCTACAAGGCAGCCAGCGATATTGCCATGAACGATCTGCCCCCAACACACCCCATCCGCTTGGGCTTGGCATTGAACTTCTCGGTGAGTGATTGGCTCGCAAGACCTTGGAAGACACAATGGCTCATGTATTCTATATTTCGAAATCTTCGTAGGTGTTCTACTATGAGATTCTCAACTCGCCGGACCGCGCTTGCCGCTTGGCGAAAGCCGCTTTCGATGATGCGATTGCCGAGTTGGATACGCTGAGTGAAGAGAGCTACAAAGACTCGACACTCATCATGCAGCTGCTGCGCGACAACCTCACATTATGGACGTCCGATATGCAGGCAGAAGGTAAGTTGTAATCACACCCACTTGTTCGGCTCCGTTATTAAGTTCTAAATATTATACTAAGAAGTAGACCCCAACGCAGGTGATGGCGAGCCCAAAGAGCAAATCCAGGATGTTGAGGATCAGGACGTGTCGTAATTTAAGTAAACCCCCGCCCTTCCATTTAAAACACATTATATACCTTCTAAAGTAAATATAATACCATATAATATATATGCATACAACAACAACAAACAAAAAACAACACAGCAACTTCGAGAACAACAACATGGAACCAACACGGCAATAACAACATCTCAACGCCATCGACGAACGACAACCATAGCAGCCGATTACAAAAGTAACAACAGCAACAGCAGCATCAGCATATATGCAGCATTAAATCAGCAAGAAAGCCAGCAGCAACAATTTGTCATCAACAATAAACAGCATGGAAAACAACAGCACAAAAACAGAAAAAACAAAACAAACAAAATGTTTGAAAATTGGGCGGCCTGGTGGGCGTGGTGCGGCTGTTGCTGCGGAACAGAATCGCAACGTAAAGAATTCGCGGTACTATTAAGTTGTCGCTTCGCCATTTGGCTCTCCTTCACGTTAGAAAACTGCAACATCAACTCTACTACATTTGAATTTTTTGCATTCGAGAAACCAAGCATTATATTATATTTAAATAAATATTATATTTAATTATGAGAAGCAAAAACAAAACAAATAAACTTCATTTAAACCACAAGAGACAACACAAGCAGGAAAAGAACGAAAATCGAGAAACAATCACACGAGTAAATCACAAAGCAAATTTCATCGAGTTGGCATGCATTAATTTTTAAAACAAACTTTAAATACGACAGCAACACGTAAAATACAACTTTAATTTTAAGCCAATAATAAACGTGAGAACGAGGAAATAAAAACGAAAAACGATTTAATAAGCGCAAACGTAAAAGTAAAACATAAAGTCGAAAATGTAAGGAAAAAATACAGCAATTAATTTAAATTTAATACATGAATAAAACATAAATGGAGTAAACGAAACGAAATGAGCAAACAGAATGAAAGACGCAAAAGCTAAAAACTATATTAAATGAGAAAAAGGAATGTTAGTTAAGCGAAATTCAAAACGAATTCTTAAGCTTAAATTTGTATGTATGTAAGTGTACTGTTCAAAAACACCGACACACCCGCACAGACACACACAAACACACACCCACCACCCATACAGACACCCATATTACGCATACGAGCCGTTTGTTTTCCTTAACGTTTCCTTGCTCTCTCACACTCGCATTCACATTCACACTCACGCCCACAACCATGCATGGTCTAATCAAATGAAACCAAATAATCGAACGGGAATTTGGTTGATTTCTGTGCTTCGCCTTTCGTTTTGAGTTCTCCATCGCAATCGCAACCAATTTTCTTCATCATCTCTTACCTTGCGCAACAAAGAAAACATATTAATAATATAGAAAAGTATTTGTAGTTGCTAAATACAAGAAACAAAAAGAATACAAAACAACGGTACATATATATATATATATGTATATATATATATTGTATACACATATACTTGTATATTTTCTATGCCTACCACTTATGTAATTTGTAGAGATTTCGAACTTTTCCACCCCCCACCCCCAACTAACGCTCCCTCCAGAGATTCCGATTCCGGATCTTGTCCCCATTTCCAAAACCCCCAGACAGAAACCTGGACGGAAACCCTAACCCAAACCACAACCGCAACAGACGAGTATCATATGATTTAGCCTGAAGTCCAGTAAACGAACAGATCCCCCACGAGAACAACATCATCGGCAGCATTATACATATGTAGCGTGTTTGCGTGATTAGCGAAGGAAAATAGAATGACATGAGCTGAGGAGCTGAGCAGCAGCAGCTACAGGAGAATTTTCGCACGAGCTTATTCGCAGCTCTTTGCCTTGGTTTTTTGGTTTTGGTTCTTTAATAAATGAGGCGCGCAAAAAGTGAAGGAAAGAAAGCAGACTAATATTTTGCAGTCGCTAAATAGAAAAGGCCCGTGCAGAAAGTTAATTAAGCATAAATCAGCCGCGGCAGCAACAACAGCCACATTCTTGAACGGAACAACAACAGCAATATAAGAAACCAGCAGCTAAAACTGACATTCGTATTCATTTCAAATAAAAATCATAAAAAAACAACAATTGGCCATCTCAATTTATTGTTAATTGAATTTGGGGCTCGTGCTTTTATGGGCTTGTTTAAATGGTCACAGGCAATCATCGAGAGATTGGAAATATAGAAAATGGCTTTAATAGATAGTTATTTATTTTGTGGGAAGTCGCCTATTAATAACAATGAAATCTATTGTTTTGACAGCGATTTTTCAATGTATTTTGAGGCTTTTCTTGATTTAACGCATTCAAAAGCTTAGAGAAGTGTTTTCATTAGATAACATAGTTTTTACTGAAGCCTCCAAAACAAATTGTATTGTATTAGTATTATCATTTGCTAATGAAGCACAGCACAGCCTTATCTAAGATGATAAAGATTCGTACCTCACAAGTATTGATGCATCCAAAGGATGCGAGCTTAGGAAGCGCACTGCTGGTGCTCAAAAGAAATATATGCCAAACTAAATCGCTAGTCTGTGGTCATCGCGAAATACTGGCAGACGGGCAAAGAAGAAAGCGACAACGCTTCTGCGTCAAATCAGAAGTGTCCACTTAAGCTCAATGTCGCTGGGCCAGAAGCAACAAGAAAAGTGGGTCTAGTGGCCATTGTTTTCAGCTTGCTGATGTGCACAATGGAAAAGCCGATGCATACAGATATCTATATTTGAAATCTGGACAACAGCTGGAAGAGGCAAAGGTAAAGAAACAGCAAAGAGCCCGAATGCGGATTAGTTGCAAAACGTTGCTCGAGTCTCGGAGATGGCACTGCAGCTGCAAATTGAGAAGCTCAAAGGTTTGGACAACTACAAGGCCTGGTCGATGACGGTGCGGGCGTATCTGGAGTCGGAGGAACTCTGGACGGTGGTGGAGAATGGTCCCGAGAACAACGAGGAGGTGAGTCATGGTGGCAGCGCGTATGCCTACAGGAAACCCATGCCGCATACTCTTTGCAGTCCCTGCTGAAGGACAAGCGAGCCAAGTTCTTGATTCTCTGCCTGATCGAGACCAAGCTGTGCCAATTCATGGTCAGCATCCGCACAGCTCGGGATCTGTGGAATTACCTGCGCACCCAGCACTCGCTGCGTTAAAGTAGAAATCAATATATATCAGTTTCAGTCCATTGTATTACAATAATATATGAATTACACTTGGAAAGCATAGCGCTTTTCTTCTAGGCCTCCGGTAGTTCGATGACTACAGGCTGGTCCTCAGGATCCTCGTCCAGTAGGCCCTCAAATTCCCATCCCAACTTTTTTTCCAGCCGCTTGGTCAGCCGCTCAGCGCTGACACTTAAACCTTCCGCATGCAGATTTACCAGCAGTTCACGCACATCTTTGTAGACGGTGTTATGCGGACCAGGCACCATCAGCTCCTCGGGCAGGTGGGGCAGCTGGTGGGCCAAAACCTCGCTGTACTTCATGTACGTTAACTTGTGCTTTGAGACCGCTGTTTGCGAGTGAGCAAGCAGGCCCAGAAGCTTGCGCCAGTGGGCCAGCGACTCCACAGAGTAGCCCACAAGGAAAAATGCGTAGGCGAGCTGCAGTTCCTCTATGAGTCCGTCGGCGGTTTCGAAGCCTTCAAGCAGTTTGTCAACAGCATCGATGCAATCCAAAGCGTGGCGGGAGACTTCAGCGGGCAGGGCAGCTTGTGGAACACGCAGGGGTACTGTACTGAAGCGCGGAGCTGTGCCTTCCACGGGTTTTAGGTCCGGCAGGAGTTCGCTCTCATCCAAGAGAAGCCGAGCTGCAGCATTCCGGCGGCTGATGCTGCCACTAGTGGCTCCTCCCCGCGGCCGATCTGCGTCCGGGCAAGATTGCAGTTCGATGTTCGTACGGATGGTTCCTTCTGAGGGACGACAGCGATTCATGCATGACTCCGTCACGCTTCCGGTGAGTTCCTTCCACTGAACCACGTAACGATAGTCGTACGGCGCCAGCACGCGCTCCAGTTGGGCTAGGTTCTTGCGGATTCGGTCTCGCTCCACTTCAGGTTCGGCAATCCTCCGAGGGCGCAGCTCCTCCACTTCGTGGTCCCATTCTCTTACGACAATCTCATTCGGATGGAAAAAGTGCACGAATCCAACACGAGGGGCTGCATCGCCGTAGGGACCACGGGAGGAGCACCATATGTAGTGGACTCCGGGTGGAATCATCTTGACGCCTCGGAAATCCGGACCAATGGTGTAGGCACACAGATCTATGCCGAATTCCGTGCCCTCGGGTACACCGGCGATGACCAGGACTCCGCCATCAGCCAGCAGGCGCAGCGCTAGCTGGGGATCCATTTTCATGCTGGAGTTGTCCTTGTTCATTGTGAAATATTGTCCGCTTGCAATTATTATGAAAAAGAAAACAATTGCAAGTGCGGGCGTTTCAGATAGTTGCCAGATGTGTGCTGGATTTCGATAAGTTATCTGTTCTTTCATGAGCAGTCTGGCAACACTAAACTAGCAATTCCCTTAAGCGGTTAATTCAATTCAAGTAATGCTTTTATTTAATACAGAATATGTTCTAATATTTATTATATTTAGGCTCTGTTGATTTTATTACATGGTGCCATTGCCCTAAATTAAAATTCTTGCTTCTCTTGACTTTACTGTGTATATGGGACCATGACTTTATACCTAAGCTATATTTATATGTAGTAATTAGTATTGTAAGCTGCGTTTAGTGCCGATATCGTCTAGTATTTGGCGCAGCTCCTCGTCCTCAAAACGACCCTCCAGTGAAGGAATCAGAGCCTTGGCCTCCTCGGGCGCCTCCGGACACAAATTACCAAGGGCGGCCAGCTCGAATTTGTGAAGCTTTTTCTGCATCAGCAAGCTAATTGTGGAACAATTTAATATTACTGTTGGTACGAACTTTGATGAGTGGTCTTGCTACACTACCTTCTCACAGACATTATGGTCTCTTTGTTTTTAAACTTCCGAAAACTATCCGTGTAGGCGTACGTCTTCATGAAGACCTCAGAGAACTCTTGCTCCTCGTCGGCGGATTCGTTCTGTCGCTTGCGGTGGTCGAGAAGCATGTGCACCTCTGATATCAGCAGCGTCTCGGCATTTTCAAACTCTGAAACGAAGACCAGGCGAAAGGTTTTTGTTTAGAATTTGGTACTGGACGACTTTCAGGAAATTTACAAGTGAAACATTGGAGAAACAATTTGCCCTAGCCATAGGACGGTGGTCTGCTAATATGGCCGTGTTCCAGCAGAAAATCGTAGATCTGGCGCGTTTTGTTCACATCTATTTTGATAAGACGTCGCGCATCGGCCAATCGCAGATATCCGAGCTTTGCTTGCTCCGCAACCAGTTGGTTTTTGTAGTCTAAATACGATTGCGGAACCAGCCGAGCCACACTGCACAACTTTCGCTCGCCATCATCCAGTTTGGAGTAACCAGGAAGATCTGGGAATAAAGAAAAACCACATTAAGTTGGTTTCAGACAATGAATTCAGTGAATTCTCCCACCTCCAATCTCAATAGGACTGGCCTTGCGACGCGTGTTCATAGCATATAATTTTGAGTTAATGGCCAGGGGCCCAGGATCACCGCTCCTGTTGCACTCGTAATGCTGCACCAATTGCTGCCAGTCGAAAGCATCTGTTTGCTTCTGCCTACTGTAATCTCGCTGAGCCTGCTGACGTTGTTTGCTCAGACGGGCATATAGTTTGGCTCCAGAATGAGTGCGAACGCCGTGCTCTCGCAGGTCGTATAGCTTGTGCAGCCGGCTATGCAACTCCCGACAATAGCGCAGAGACTCCAAGAGCATATCGAACTTAATGGGGTCGGGACAGATCTGCATGAAGCCCAAGAAACGCATGCAACTTGCATCGCTGCTAAAGGCGTGCACGTACTTAGAAATCCAGCTGACAGTGCGATTGGGCATTATGAGGCCGTGCTGCCTCATGATCTTGTAACGACGCTGACGCTCTCTGTAATCGATAATGGGTCATTAGATTCGTTTCACTGTTGTAGTTAGCTGTTGTAGGATCATACCTGAGGCGATTGTTGTATGCTCGAACCAGTCCCAGCTGCAATTCCTCTGTCACTTCACGCTCAAACTCGCTCTCAGGCGTCTCGTTGTCGTCGTCCCTGCCCCTATGATCCACCATACAAGAAATAAGACTCTCTGCGGAGGTGTCGTAAGGAGTGTCGAAGTCGCCTCTTGCACAGCGATAGCCTGCGCTTAGTTTGAACTGCATGGAGGCGATATCGTCATGACGTGGTGGATCCAAGCTGCGCATTTTGAAGACATACGGCATGCGCTCGGGAAGATAGCTATGCCTGGCATGCTGCAGATTAAGGAGTCGCTCGAATATGCCGCCAAAGTAGCAATCGTGGTAGTGACGTCTCACTTCTTCGGGTTCGTGGCGCTGGTCCAGAGCCTGGGATACTGCGTCCCAGTTGCCATAGCCGTGGGTGCGCAGTGTTTTCAGCAGGATACGCTCGTCCCGAGCCGTCCAATGTGGCTCCTCGGCGAAGACCTGTATGTTGTCGCGGACAATGATGTAGGCGTGGTTATTGCGGTGGGAAATGGCCTCCTTTCCGCGCGAGAAGCATTGCAGGCACAGCAGGGTGTCCAGGCACTCGGAGCACTTTATGTACGGCTCTGCAAGACTGCAACGACACGTGGCACAGCGATTGGCATCTTTTGAAGCCAGTGGAACGCTGCTATTCTTATCCCGCGTCACTTCCTCCAGCTCCTCCAAATACCTGTGCAGCGTGTGGGGATTATACAAAACCAAGGAGCTCCTAGTGTTTTCATCCTGCTGTGCATGGGTGAACCGCTTGACCTGTTTCCCCAGTAGCTCAACTGCAAAGAGGCAATCAGTGTGGTAAAAATGTGGAGGAGTGCCGCTATTGGGGCACTCGTAGCCAAAGGTTTCAGCCAGTTTCACTTGTAAGTAGGGATTCGGTTAGTGTGGGGGCGTCTGTTACCTTTGGGAAACTGCAGGTCAGCGGCGTCCTCATCCACCATATCCACGGGGTTCATAAAAGACATAATGAACAGTTCTAATTACACTTTTTACTAACAAATTCTAATTTTTACAATAAAATGCCGCTGTTTTTAGTGATGGGAGAGGCATAGCGATAACTTGCTGAGAAACTATCGATAGCTTAAATAAATACATCGTGTTTACTTACGAATGTTTTGATTTTGTTCAGAATTCTTGATATTCTTCCAGGAGAGTGATGTCCTGGTCGGCAGAAGTGGCTTCCTCGAATGCTCCCAAGTACTGCTACTTCTTCAAGACCCTGCTGGTGGAGGAACTAGAGTTGGAAACCTCCTATCACAACCTGCATTACGGGCAGTGCGCATTAATTGGACGACTGGCGTTCAAGTCGAATCAGTACCGGCTGGAAAACGTGCGCGTTAAGTGTCTGCCAAAGTAAGTATTTCTGTAACATGTGCTCATTGGATTCTTACCAGTGATGTTGAGCCTTTTAGGAAGTACTCCTTGGACGAGGGCACCATATCCTTGCTTATTCTGGGTCTCACCCATGACAAAGTCGTCGAAAATCGCGTGAGTGCCGGCCGCTATTGCATTGTGCGCGGTGAAGTGGTGCTTCATAATGTGCAGCATCCCAAAGGTCCCAAGCTGACCGCTGGCGGAGTCTACGACAAGATCAATAGCCTGTCCAACAATCCGTTGGAGCAAACACAATATCTCAACGCCCTACGTGCCACCTACAGACCGGCCATCGATTTGTGGTACATCCAGGTCATCGACAGAGCCGAGGACTTGCTGACTCGCAGGCTGGAGATGAGAAGTCTGATTAAGAAATGAACACACACTACCTGACAACCTCGCGAACCAATCCGCAGTTCTACATATTCAGTCAGCTCTTTGGTAACGATCGCGACTGGAGCCATTGCAATTGGGAGGACATTCAAAACGTTGCTTGGAAAGAATTCTGGCAGCGTGAGGGACATGAGCTACTAGAGCAAAAGTGGCACAAGCGGTTTCCCGAATACAGAGATCTTATCGAGGTTGTCTCGTTGGAGGAGCAAGGGCTCTGGCAGGAACTGTGGGAGAAGCACGCCAGTGATTCCAGTGCCAAGTTCTGGTATATATTTAGCTGTGCCTTTGAGAACTACCAACAGGTTGTGGCCAAATCATTTGGCCATCAGGAAGATGAAAACCCAGAAGATGTTGAGCAGGACTTACAGAACTTAAGCCTTCAAAAGAGGCCAACGAAATCGAGACAGCAAAGGACCTCAGAAAAAGAAAGGAACGAATCATACTTGACTGCCAACGACGATCCCGAAGATTGTGACGAGGAACAGCAGTTGCGCCTTCTCGGATTGCCAACATCATTTGCATCGAAGGCAGATACAATTATCCGAAAGGAAAGAAGGACACAGTACGAACCCTCTAGCAGCGACAGCGAGAACAGTGAGGATCTGTTAGTCATGGAAAACGACGAAAATGAGGCTCTGCATGGCGTTCAGAGCGGTTTTATCAAAAAGAGCAAACGACGGCAAAGGCAAATCAACAAACTCAAGGCCAGAATGCCTGAGTTTATGCAAGAGGATAACAACAAAATGGTCAAGTATTGGGTAAAGCGGTTCTCTCTGTTCTCCCGTTTCGATCAGGGCATTCGGCTGGACCGCGAGAGCTGGTTCTCGGTGACTCCCGAGAAGATTGCCAAACAAACGGCTCGTCGTCTGGCCTGCGACGTGATCTTAGATGCTTTTTGTGGGTGCGGCGGCAATGCCATTCAGTTCGCAAACACCTGTGGACGCGTAATTGCTGTGGACATCGATGCGGAGAAGCTGGCCATGGCCAAGCATAATGCCGGCATTTATGGTGTGGCCCACAAAATCGAGTTCATCAACGCCGATTTTCTGCAGTTTGCGGCTACCACAAAGCTTCGCCCAAATGTAGTTTTTCTGAGCCCTCCCTGGGGAGGTCCCGACTACCAGAAGCAGGCCTCCTTCGATATTGAAACAAGTCTGTTGCCCGTGGGCGCCAGCAATCTGATGCAGCTCTCTCGCAGCCTGGCGGCTGACGTGGCCTTCTTTCTCCCACGCAACGCCAATATGAAGCAGGTGGTCGCCTTGAGTGGAGCTGGGCAACAGTGCGAGGTGGAGCACAATTATCTGGACACCCGAATGGTTGCTATAACTGCTTATTACGGCAAGGGAATTATAAAAGGTTCATTGGGTGAGGATGAGTAGGATTCGTAGTTGTTAGAAAAATAACATTTAGAGCAGCTTACACTCGTAAGTTTAAGGTAGTATTAATAAATAAAATAATTGTTTTCATATAGCTCTGTGACTAGCGTGAACTACATTTTGTGGTAATTACAATTTGCCTTTCAATCTTTTAGTTGTATGTTTGAAAAAAGAACGGGTTCATACAAATTTAATTAATTTCATGGCATTTTCGCTTGTTTTTGGATGTAAGTCTAATTTTTAAAATAATGTGAGTGTTATATTCAGAAGAAAGCAGAATTTATAAAAGCGAACCAATTTGTTGGTTTTCCAGAAGAACAAAGTTGTGTGAACAGGAAAATAAATGTATGAAAAGCATTTTGCCTAATATGTAATATAAATGATTTTTAAGTATCTTTAATTAAACACTGAGGATATAAGAACACAGAATGCACAAATTCCAGTAATTATGGATCAAAGGAAAATGTTGTCTATGGTCAAAAACTTTTTTGTGCGTTGTTTATCGCCTTAAGTTTTCTTTTTGCCACAGAGATAGGAGAAAAGTTGACTAATGAATAAAGCCGCCTCACATGTAACACACGAGTAAAATCTTTTTACCCATCCCTTCAGTCGTGCGGGCTGTGCAGTGATTGTTGCCAAGTGACCAGCAATGCCAAAGAGTCCAAGCTCTTTAGCCAATTTAGATGGCTTAACAGAGCTCAACTGACCAATGGTCAATGGTCATAACCATAACGTTCCGCAATCCCTTCTTGCAACTGACTCTGGACTTTTAATTAAAACGGAAAGCAAGCAAAGCGTGCGTCACTTTTTAAGAACTTTGTGCTGCAAGTTGTGACTTGGCCCAAAAGCCATGGCCATCCTGGGGGCCATCCTGAACCTGGCAACGTCGGTCGGGGGCAATTAACATGCTCGTGCCGCGGCGGAAGCAGCAGCTCCTTCGGCATTCCACAGCAGACGACGAGCCACCAGAAGCAACAACCCTTTTCATGGCTAACAGCTTACTTAGCTCTTTCGGATGGGGTGCGTTCGGTTGGCGGGTCGGGGGTTGCGGTGGGGCGAGGGGCGGGGCATGTGCGGAATTTATAGCTGCCAACTGGCAACAGAGATATTTACCCCTTCCTCGCCCCAAGTGCGGCAAGTGCCTGCTCCTCTCCATTGCCATTAGTTTGATTAACTTATTAGTGTGCGTCGGAGCAGCTTGGCGAAATTTGGGGCATTCTTTCCAGCGCTGATTTGTGGGCTGCCTTTTGGTGGGTAGTCTGTTGGAAAGTAGCAATATTTTGTCGAGAATAGCAGGATATTATATTATATTATAAAATGTATAAAGTGCAATTTTGGGGAAAATCATAGTATATTCAATTAAATGCCATAACAGAAAGGTTTTCAAAGTGGTAGATAAAATAAAATAGGAGTAAATCGGATTTTAAATATGCAGTCATAGCCCATAGTAAATAAAATGTGTGTATGTTATGAGAAACTGATAATACTTACTACTTTATATACCCTTTACTCGTTGTTTAAAAGGCAGTTGATGCATTCTGGATCAGGATCACTAGTCCTGTGGATCTGGCCACGTCCGACAGTGTGTATGAACTTTGAGATCTCGGGATCTATAAGAGCTAGAAAGTTACGATTAAGCAGCAGTAGATTGCCACGCCCACTATACTTGTACAACTCTAGGTGCGGGTTATCGAAAAGAGTCATTCCACCTTTCTGGTGTGCATATCTTGATCTCTCTCGAACTTCCACTAGGTGAGTAAATGGTATCTGATAGTCGAGGAACTGGACTATGCGTTCTATCTTCTTTGCCTAAATGGTCGTTTCATAATATTTTATTTGGATGCAAAACATTTGACTCTATGGACTACTAAGTATATATTGGCATAAACCAATTGTAAAATGCAATCAAAAATGAATATATTAGGCACTTATGCACCCTTTCTGGTGCAAATTGCTAAGTAAGCTCGTTGTTGGTGATTAAAGCTGACTTTTATTGTGCGGATTGTTATTAAAATACCGTGGAATAGGCCGTCACGCGTCAACTTCGACATTATCAGCTACTTAAATCTAAGCCCCTCTCCGGATCCGGCTTACCCACTTTGGGTTTCAGTCCGTACCACTGTTATCCTTTATTAGATACACGTAATTGCCGCTTTAACGCGGGGTTGACAATGCCAACAATTTCAATATATCCTGCCTGGGCGGCCTATAAAAGGCTGGCATCTCGCCGAAAATATATAGAAATATATTTTATTGAAAAGCAAGCACGTGTTCACAGCTCATCTCATCGAGCGACAAGTGGCTGCGTCCGCCGTTTGGGCAAAAACAAATTAAGTCACCCTTTTATTACGCTATTTAATTTCCAGCGTAATGTTGTCATCCGTCTTGACAAATGGTCACCCAAAACAACGAGGTCCTTCCCCCGGATTCCACCCCCGACCGGCAGACTGGCTGTTTGATCTGTAATTTGCGCCACTTGATGATGGCCTTAGCCGGGGAATCCCGAGTCGCATCCGGGAGTCACTAAGCGGCGGGGTGGTTTATTTGTGCCGCAAGTTGCGACAATGCCGCAATGCGATTACGGCGTGCAGTCCATGGGAACTGTGGAAAATGCGATTGTTTGGCTCCGGCTGCAGGTGCAGATGCTTCATGGGCGCATCTAATTAAGCTGGTTGGGGGTTGTACGTACTCCGTAATTGCCAACTGATTTATGGCTCATCCGCAGACCTGCTTTTGCCAAATATTGATTCAAAGCTGAATTTCCGCTTTGAGGTCGGATTTTCAAGGCGTAACAATCTAAGTTTCTTTCTACAACAAAGTCCAAGTTAATATTACTTACCTTACTTCCTATTCATATAAAACTTTATAATTGTATCTTTAATTTGCAACATACTAAATAGTATCATTTAGATACTATATTAGGCAATAACTATTATGTACTATTCGTCTTAAAACAATATTTGTGAGTGCTTATATTCTGAAATGAAGGAAATAATATAATTTTATAACTTTATGTGAATATAACTTTTAGTTGAGGTATGTACAGTTACTCTGTATAAAATCCTAACTAAAACAATAAAATGTTCTAATTAATATGGAATCTACGTGGTTTTTAGATATTCCCAATTTCCCAAATTGATTATTGTTAGATTGGTAGCTCTATTACTGCCACAAGTCAAGCAAGCCCCATATTTTTTGAGGTTATTTCTGAACATTTTAAATTTCTTTAAATACGAGTAAATATACCTACCTTTTTACCATGGAAACATAATTGTTTTATATATTTGTGCTGCGTTTTCTTCTTCTACTTCCCGTCGAGACTTTAGCAAAATGGCTGAAACCCACTTATTGATTAACCGTTATTCATTTGGTGGCAGCCATTAAAATTAATAAAACGCTGCAAGGGCGGCGACAACAACAAAGGCCGTCGCAACAACCACAAGACCAGAAGCAATTATATACACCAGCATCATAAAGATGAAGAAAAAGTGCGGGGGGCGGTAAAGCAGTGGGAGGGGCAGGCCGAACAGTTATCCGCCCACTTGCCATTGATGGGCAATAAAAAAAGTCAAGCAGAGCGCAGAACAAGAGCAATAATATTTAATAAATGCGCACAGGGCCGAGCAATATTTATATGTACTTACATACATACATATACATACATTTGTATATGGTATTCTGCTCCTTGTTGTTGGTGGTTGAATGCGAAAAAAACCATAAATAAATAAGCGAGCTTACGCACACAAGTACATGTAAGACTTCAACGTGTGCTCCGACTGCCACACTTGAAGAAATAGTGCGTAGCCGAAATTTTATTCTTGCTCTGACTGGAAGCAGAAAATTTAAAATCAACCAATGCAGCTAATTTAAATATTTTTGTGGTCCAAACAAACTAGTTCATTTCAAAAATGTAAAAATAAAAACCCTAACCAATTGCTTACAACTTTCAATTGCAACTATTTTTTTAAGTGCTCTGACCATCTTACTCTCCGCCTCTCTTTCTGCCTGCCGTTCGAATAGGTAGGCAGGCTATGTGTGCGTGCATGCGAGTGTTGGTAGTGTGTGTGTGTGTGCCATGCATTTTTGGTTGAATGCTTGAGAGCAACAGAGGCAGCAGCAACAACAACGACAACATCGCTGTGAGAGAGACGCTCACTTACAGGAAATCCGCTCCCCCTTACATTGCCCCTCCCTCCGTTCTACCCTTCCCCCGCAACATCATTCTTCATGGCATTTCGGTGAAAAAGAATGCTTTTGATCTTCACAAGCGAATGATTTTTAATATGACTTTTTCTGTTGTTGCTCCCGGCAGAGGGCGGTTTTTCCGGGGGGGTGGAGGGGCTTTTGGGCGGCGGAAAATATGTTTAAGCCCTGGGAAATGGGAAAGTAAAGTGCGCCGGCAGTCAATCAAAAGCGCCAGCATATTTATTATTCGCTTTTTACTGTTCATGCACATAGGCACATAATGACCGTGATAATTAATTAGCTTAATTAAATACCAATGCAGTCACACACACTCGCACACACACTAGTTTAGTCAACCGCAGCGCCTAAAATTAGGCAACGTTTGAGTTCAGCAAAGTCAAAGCGAAGAAAGGAGGAGAGGCGCATTCGCATAATGATGGTAATTTGTTGGTTTCGCCAAAAGAGCAAACGGCATCCTTGGAATTTCAATTAATTTCCATAATTTCCAACGCTTTATGAGCGAGGCAGCGAACCCCCAAATAGCCCAGCGGAATAGAAAGAGACGGCGATTGAGATGAGCGAGCGCGAGTTTTCCCCCACGAAGGGGATGATTTTTCCTACGCAGGAGTTTGTCCTTTGTGTGAAGTCGGTTACTGCCAAGTAGGTGGGTCCGCGAGCAGATCAGAACCAGGCCAAAAGTGCTGAACTTCTGCGGGATTGGCTAAGCAATAGAAATACTATTTAAATTTTAAGGTTCAGCAACCTTCTTTTACCTTTCAACAAGCATGTTAGTCTGCTATCTGGATTGACAAACAGAATGGTTGTTATATTTGCAATTTACTATTTCCTAGAAAAACAACAGTTTTACAATCTCAAATAACAATATTTCGGAACTAAACAAAAGATCTAAGAAATTTTCAAAATACAATCAAACAAACTCACAACCAGTCAAAAATCTTGTGACGTTCAACACACAACCCAATTTTGACTTTTATGAAAACAAAACCGAATTTACATGCCGCTTATTAACTGCACTGTAGAAAATGTATTATTTAGTAAGGTTTTATCGAAGATACCGGTGTGTATTTATATACTGAGTGTTGGATTAGTATTCTAAAGTCAAAAAAATAACCGGTTCTGGTTCTGGGATTGGATTTTGATGGAAAACGCCCCGTTTAACTTACATCCCTAAGCTTAACTATAGACGAGGGTCTCTCCGTACTGTATCTGTAAAAATTTCTACTGTACTATATAATCTAAGTCTAATATAATGTAATCTAATATGCATTAGCTTCGTTTTACCAATCAGTACACAAAATATGTATTATTGGACATCATAACTAGAAACTGTAAGTGCACGTTTTAATCCCTATTTGCCAGAAATCTGCTT